TTGGCCTAGGATGAGACATGACGTTCATTAAAGTATGTGAGCATTGCATTTCATGTAGGCAAGCTAAATCTAGACTTAAACCGAATGACTTATATTCTCCTTTGCCCATTCAAATTGCTCTTGGTTGGATATGTTAATGGATTTTGTTTTAGGTTTACCAATGACTATGAGAGGTAGAGATAGTATATTTGTGGTTGTTGATAGATTTAGTAAAATGACTAATTTCATTCCATGTCACAAAACTGATATGCTAAATATATTGGAAATTTGGAGAATTAATATTTAAAAAAATTAAAAAGAAATACCCGATGATTTATACAAACTAGCCGGTTAAAACCAATGTTCGAAATGTCGACGTCGATAAAAATGTCGAGCTCCCAATTTTACGGACATGTCGATGTCGATGTTGACAAATATTTGGAGAAAAGTCACAGAAATTGTGAAAATTAATAAAAAAATGTTTTAATTAGTAAATAGAACTTTAATTGTAGCTTAATTAAGCTATAATTGATCACTTCTAACCGTCATATGTAAAAGTACGAGTAACTTAATTATGAAAATGTCGATGTTGATAGAAATGTCGAAATAAGATAATGGAGATTGATGAAAATAATTTGAATTAGTAAATTGAAGTGCAATGTTGCTTAGTTATATTTTATTGATAATTAATAATTTATAACCAAATTTAGTGTTTAGTTACATTAGTGAATAAGATATGAAAGATTGATATATGTGTGTGTGTATATATACACACACACACACATATACAATTATTAAAAATAGGAGGATAGGTTTAAAAATTTTGTAATTAACTTTGAAAAGAAAAATTGGAAAAAATTCAACGGCAATAAAGTTAGGTCAATAGTAAAATTTGAAAATAAATACTAAATAGATAAATTTAAATAATAAAATAATAATAATATCTATTCAGTTGGGTTGGGCTCTGTTATATGAGCTAGACTATTGAGTAAAAATTTATTTATTTATCTTTTTAAAACGATTTTCGTCGAAATATCGATATTTTTACGATATTTCGATGATATTTTACTATATCGTCGATAAAGGGGGGAAAATGAATTTTCCCTCAGATATCGATGACGAGTCCCTCGATACATCGACATGTTGCTCGACATGTCGACGTGTCAAGCAACATTTAGTACACTAGTTAAAACTTATATGCCAACTATTTTATAAATAGTCGGGAGAATTAATATTAAAAAAAAACACTCGATGTTGTTTTTAAAACAATCAGGTTGAACAATACTTGCCGACTATTTTTAAAACTAGTCAGGAAAATTAATATTTAAAAAATAAAAAAAAACTCCAAACCATTTTTAAAATAGTCGGGCAAATTATTATATAAAAAAATTTAAATAGTCGTGAGTTGATGTAATATTTTTAAAAAATAAAAAAAAATATTCCGAATGGTTTACTAAAGTAGTCGGGTAAAGACAACTTCTCCTGATCATTTTTTTAAACCGTCGGG